CTCCTCTGGGACCATACAACCAAGATTTTTTCGACTTCCACTCACGATTCTTGACGAACTCGGCCGCGTTTGGTCCCTTGGAAAGAACATCCGCAAAATTGTATTTACTTGCCACGTGACGCCACTCTATTGTTGATGACAACTCCTGGATTTGAGTGACACAATTTCCTTTAAAAACTTTGAGGACCTAAGGGGATTTCTTAATCCATTGCAACACGATCTCAGAATCGGACCAAAATATGACCTTGTAAATGACAAAGGAAAATTATTTTAAATGGCANGGAATTGTCGGAACGCCTTAGCCCGTGAATCTCCGAGAGGTACAGCTGACTGCTTGAATGGTAATCTAACGACGTATCGACCACTACTATCGCGTCTCGTGTTTTCGACATAATGGGTTTCGCACGCAGTCTCTTCTGGGGTGTAACTTAACTGCCTGCCAAGTACCGTATCAGGGATTGGTAAACACCTCCACACATAACTGGTGGAAGGGTGGCCCCAGTAAAAAAAAGAAACTAAAACCTTAATTTCTATCTTTGTTTTTAAGAACCATAGAGCTAATTAATTTTAAATCATTTATTTAATTTGCTGCATGACAAAAAAGCGGACAAGCAAAACATAAAAATTTCCAAAATTCTATGAGCTGCTAATCCTAGCCCTTTTCATTAAGCCAGTGGCAATGTGATATGCTATTTTCATTTTTGTTTTTTGTGCTAACTTTGTCTTCGTTTTTTTTAACAATTTTAACCTATTGAGTGTAGTTTATGCTGCTAGAAAAAATTAAGATGAGTCAAAATTATCCGTGACAATAGACGACACCACAACAATGCACATTTTCTTAACTTAATTAAAATTTCTTATCTTCTGCAAAAACTAAAACATTGATGAAATATATGATACTAAATATTGTACTGCCTTGCTTTATTGTATCTGGGAATTTCTACACTTAAAAAACTTTCTAAATCACTGTACAAGTATTCGTCTAAGCACTGCATTGTCTGCTTTGGACATTAAGTTTTTATTTTCTTAGAAAATACATTAATGGACTTTAAAAATTAAGTATACTAACAAGAATCAAGACTTTTTTAAAAAAATAAGCTTTTTGTGTCACCTACGTTCACTTGTTCTGTCACTATAACAGGAATATTAGCATTGGTAACAGTACACGATCGTGACCTATTAGGAAAAAATCAATACTTAAAAAAATGAAGATTAACATTATACCGACGCCTCTTAAGAAGACCAGCACAGTTCAGACTTTCCTATTTAATATAATATTTTAAAATCTAAACTGTGCTGGTCTTTCTACGAGGCGTCGATACATACATAATGTAAATTTATAAATCACTGTTACTGACCCATAAAGTAGAAATAAAAGTTGTCTGAGAATAAGACTCTTTGTCACACAAAATTAATGACACATAATTGTTGAAAAAAAAGACAAAAATACAGAAGTTGCTCAAACAGGAATAATTAAACATATGGAGCATAATGATAATGAGGAAATGTTTTAGTGCGTAGAGGGCTCTTTTTTTTCATTATTCGATAAAGTTTAAGAATAACTTTCAATAAATAAGTTTTTTAAAGTCTTACTCCCATTCTAAAAATTTTAAATAGTATCTAAGATTATTTTTTAAACACCCTCTTTCTATTATGGAATGATACAACATTATACTATCGTCAAAATAATCAAAATATTAACTTTGTATCATATAACGTGACTGCATAACAAAAAGTATCAGTGACATTTTTTGATGTTCAAATTATAGCATAACGTATAATTAAAATCGTATGAAAATATTATTCGCTTATTAATAGTAACTAAATGACTAATAAGTAAGATTACTTACTATCATAAAACAATTCTTTTTGGTCCAATAAAATTGTGTTAGAATGACAGCTCCATTAAATTGATGTGTTGTGATGACATCCAAAGGGACTTTTTTTAAATCACACACTTCGTATAACACTTAATATTCTGCAACTTAGTTGATTATCTCTATGTGCTTATCGAAATCGCTATTGGAAAAAAATCAGTGGCTTGCTCTAATTTTTAAAATGTTTTATATTTCTTAACGACAAAGGGTTAGTAAACATTGAAAACTTAAAAAAAAAAATTTCTAGTTTTTTTTGCACTAACATGAACTACCAATGTTTTTTTTGGTTTTTTTTTTTTTAATTTGGTGATTGTATTTTTTATTTTATTTGAACTGCTTAAGAAGGAAAAAACAAAACAATAGCAAAAAAAAAAAAGCACATTTACAACCTATTGTTTTTCATGTCGTAAAAGCAGTTAGTTGTACAAAAGTCTAAATTTTATCATAAAAAGATAAGCTATCATGGAAAATTTGAAGCGCTTGGAAAGAGCGATTGCTTTCTTTTCTAATAGCTATTTGGAAAAGAAGCACATAGAAACTATTAACAAAGTAGCCAAATACTTGGTGTTCGATGAAGTTTGTGAGTTAATAAAACTCCTATTGGAAGTCATCACACAGCATCAATTAAGTGGAGCTGTTATGCTGACCCAATTTTAATTTTCCACAAAAGGAATGTCGTACGATTGTCAGTAATTTCACTTATTTTTTATTATAGTACCATCAGTGAGTACAAAATATTTTTATATTTTAATAACATGCTGATATTTTTTTCAGATGAGGAAATCACCAATATTTTTTGTCATGCAGTTGCATTACATGATGCAAATTTGATATCCATTAACTAGTTGGATGATTATTATATAGTCATGTGAGTTAACTTGTAATATTAAATATGTTTTTTTTACCAACTATAAAAATATAACGAATTTTGGGTTTTAAAGTGCGATGCGGCATTTCGCACATGCTAAGCGTGCGAGAACCTTCCCAGACCTATCCACTGATCTCACATACAAGCAAGCCCCATATCCTCGGTTGCTGGCGTCCAAAAACTCGTGGATTTGAATCGTGACAGCGTGTGGCAAAAGAAGGTGTTTTGGAAACGATACCCCTTCCAATAAGTTAAGCTGCTTAGCAAACGAAGCCCACTTGGTGAACAGGTCCTGAGGAAAAGATTCGTCTCAGCCTACCTTTGATTTCCAACACTCCTGCATAATGACCTTGGCTGCGAATACAACTGGACCTAACTTACCTAGAGGATTAAAAATTTTAGCTTTTCCTGACTATTTGTTTCTCTTCATGATTGTTGCGGGCAACTTGATTGGATTGACCATGTATAGGAATTCAACGGACTTGGAATCCCACGTTAGTCCTAACATCTTGACTACAGGATTTCCCTTGACGACAGACTCTGTTCCAAAAACTCGTCCCTCTAAATTATCTAACGCGTGTTGATGATTCGAAGCCCATTTCCTGACGACACGCCAAACGTGACAGTGTTTAACTTAAATGTATTAATTCTGCCTTTGTGGAACCGAAAGATTTGCTGATACAACCTATCACGAGGATCGACAAGGATCTGCCTGTACATACGCTCTATATCAGCCGTGATAACGAACGTGTGAGTGTGGAATCGAAAAAAAGTTTCGGCTGTATTGTAGGTTCCACCATGAGCATTTCATTCAAGGAGAGGCCTTTATTCGTTTTGGCTGAAGCATTGAACACCACTCGAGTTTTTGTGGTGGTACTAGATGGTTTGAGTACTGCATTGTGAGGTATAAAATACCCTTCAAAACTCTCATTATTGACGAGCGCCATGTGACCTTAATCAATGTACTCCTGCATAACCTTAGTGTACTCTACACAAAGTTCAGAGTTTCCAAGAAACCGTTGTTTCATGGCTTCGAATTGTCGGAATGCCTTAGCCCGTGAATCTCCGAGAGGTACAGCTGACTGCTTGAATGGTAATCTAACGACGTATCGACCACTACTATCGCGTCTCGTGTTTTCGACATAATGGGTTTCGCACGCAGTCTCTTCTGGGGTGTAACTTAACTGCCTGCCAACCTCTTCTAATTCCCAAAACTTTGTGAGCTGTTCGTTTGACTCGACTAAATTGCACGTAGCTACGCTATCTCGATTTTGGTCTATCCCCTCTACAACCACCTAACCAAGCTGCGTTTTCTGCAAGGAAAGATCGTAGTTTTCTCAAGCCAAGTGAATCTGACCGACTGACAGAAAAGATAGAGTCTCATCTGAACCTATAAGAATGTAGACCGGTCGAGGAACGTGGAACTGCGGATCAGCTAATCGAAGGTTATGCGGAATATCGATTACTTCCCGTGGAAATGGTTCGCTTGGAATCTTGCTGGTAATATTGGGGACTACAAGGCATTTTAGAGTCTTCTAGAATTCATTGACTCGCGAACGAATGACGAGTTCAATAGACCCCATCGATATGGAGCCACTTTCTCCAAAGCCTCTAATGGGCATTTCGCAAGCCTGCAGTTGGAATTGGAGTTGTTGCACGAAACGCTCCATCACGAAATGATTAGTGAAACAAGTATCCAACAGTGCACGACCTTCGATAAAACTCTCCTTCCTTGACTTGACCCACATGACCGCACTCATGAGAAGTTGAGATGTGAGTGACCTAGACACGGCACTGAAAATATCTAAACCTAGACATGCGTGAGAAGCGTTGTTGGACGAATTTTCACCAAGAGTTCCACCAGACTTTGCTGTTGACTGGGACGTCTTCGGGTCTACATGCAACAAGGTATTGTGGTACTTATCGCATCGCCTGTAACGCCCCAGGTTGCACTTTCCGACATGTGAACGCAAACGATTGAAGCACAAACGATGTGTTCTGACAAAATCCCACTGTGCTTGGACTGACAAAGTAGCAAACTCTGGACAACGATACAGCGAGTGTGCTTGATCGCATTTCACGCATGGCTGCTCTGCTGTAGTCATGAGGATCCGAGCACCGTCGTTGGTCTTCCTCGCCTTCCTGGGTTCCAGATTCGGCTTGCCGGTTGATTCGATGGCATTTTTGAACTGCGGACAATCATTCTCCATTGTGTATATCCTCGAAACTACCCCTTAGATGAACGAATAAAATGTTTAAAGGTTCGGGAGCTCGTCCACCGCAAGCGAGTCCTCCCATCTTTCACGAATGGGCGATGGTAAGGCCCTCTCAAGTAAACGAACGACCATACGGGGAGGTTCCATACCACCAAGAAATTCTAACGAATTCAAGTGCTGCTTCACCTTGTCAACCATTATGGACAAATTCTTGGACGTAGCAGTTTTCAACGGCAGAATGTCGAGGATTGCATCAAGATGCTTGGAGATCAGAATACACCAACGCTCGTACGAATTGACCAGAGTTTTCCAAGCCTTGTCATAGTTCTCCGCGCTGATAGTATAAATCGAGATCTTGTTCAACGCTTCGCCCTGTAAAGTATTCCGCGAATACATAAACTTGACCAGTTTATCCATGTCACTGCGTGAATTGATCATCGTCAAGAAAGTGTTTTTGTACGACAACCATTCTTCATGCCCACCGCTAAACCTTGGAAGTTCCACTACTGGGAGTTTTAAGAGACGCTGGTGTTCTACAAAAGTCGAAGAGCCCATTACTCCTCCCTGACCTACTAAAGACGCATTGTTCCTCCCGTCGAGAGCATTCAACTTCGCAATGTTGCTGGCTATCTTGTAATACCGCTTGCTGATGTCTGGCCACGTCTCTACTTCCATTACCTTTCCGTTCTCAACACTAAACGCTTCTATTAAGTCCTCACATTCTTGAAATTTACGGGTTAGGTCCCCCAAACATAAAGTCGCGCTGACTCTGTCGACGTCTGCGCCCCCTACAAATTTTTCCAAACCTTCTAATCGATCCGAAAATAGCCTTGCCTTTATCGATAAGCTCTTGGAAGTTTCAACTGCCATCCTGATGGCGTTAACACCACGGGTCCCTCTTCTTGTTTATAAAATAAAAACTACCCACTCTCCACCTTTATGGTTCCCCCAAAAAAAACTAATGTAAAGAAATATCTTGAAATCAAGCTGATTCTAATAAGAAAAAAGTGAAAGGGGGTTACAGTAAAAAGAAAAAAGAAAACAAATCTTATCTGTATTGACGACGTTGACTCAACTTCTGGCAGCTGGGAGAAGGTTGATCCGTGGAAGCGACGGCGTTGGAAACAACGAAGATTAATGGTGATGTTGATGAGGCAGTGAAACTTCAAACCTCACGAGAGGCACCAAAATGTCGTGTGGAAGCACAGCTGATCCAACATGGATTGCCTGGTCGAAATTAAAGAGGGATTAGGGCAGAATAAACATAAAAAAAGGGGGGGGGGGGCTCNGGGGGGGCTCACGTAACAAGAAATCAATCAAAAAAAAATTGATAAAGTAAAAAACAGAAATAAAATTAAAAAATGAAGGGGGATAAATACAAATAAAGGGAAATAGAATAAAATAAAAAAAATTATAAAAAAAACAAGTTGAGAATTTAAATATTGGTAATAGGTGGTTATGATGCGTTGATTACCTGGAATTGAACAGAGGTTAATTGATAAGGAAAACCAATCAAATGGGAAAAAGCCAGCGGCATAAAAAACCCAGATTTATGAAGAAACGAAGACAAATACAAATTGATAAAATTGATAACTTATAAGATAAAAAAATGCGGAATTTTAAATGCGGACTGGTTTTGAGGATGCAAGGAATTATTGAAGGCAGGAATAGGATTCTCTTGCGAACCGGCAAGCCCTGCTCAGTCGCATGAGTCAGCGCAAAACTGGTGAAAGCGGACCAACGTCCGGAAATGCGGAATTGCCCCTTGCGACGATTCAGACGCAGCTGGCGCTGCGATCGATAGATCGGGCGAGGAGTTAACTATTCCGTCTCGAGAGGCGTACAGGACTAATAATGCAAACAAACTTATGACAACAGACAAGTAGAGAGAGAGAGAGAGAGAGAGAGAGAGGAAATGTACAGCCACTGGGAAAGGGTTGAATGAAAATGTGGAGCGTGCACGAGTGAGAAAGAATGGAAAAATGAATGAAATGAAGCTAAGTATGTAGAATGTAAGGAAATAGAGAGATAGCAACAAGTAGAAAATAGCTTGAGAAGAAAGGTGAAGATAGTATAAGTTAAGAGATATATAGATATATATTTAATAGAAAAGGGTTAGAGAGAAAATGTCAGATGTATAGGAGCGATAGATCAGCAGAGAAAAAGAAAGACAGAAATAGAGGAAAAAGTGAAAAGGGGTTGAGTATGCGGAGATATGCAGAATGTTAGAAGAGAATGTGGGAAAGATACAGAGGAAGGTTAAATGATTAAAAGTATAAGAGCGAGTGTAATGAAAGAATCAGGTGACTTAGCGTTGGCGTGATCCTCTGGTGGTAAGCATCTAGTACAGCCGTCGACTCCTGGTGTACGATGACCTGTAAGCGAGAAGGCAGCAAAATGCAGGCGTTAGTAGCAGTGGAGATGCGTGCAGTAAGGCGTGCAAAAAGCAATAGCGCGATAGAGCGCCAACAAGTATACGCGTAAGTCTCGACGCCCCACCCGCTGCCACTCGTACATTGGCCAGCCACTAGCCAACCAGCGATGAGCTTAAGCGGGCACAGAGAAGACATGAGAGAAAATGTGTATTTGAGTTGAACCGTATACGAACGCTCCGTTTGATTTCCGTCTCTTGACGGAACAGAAATTCATTATCATACGTGTTTAACTTGTTACTTGCAAATTTGTTTGTGTAATTTCAAAGGTTGCTAGTTCTTAGTATTTTTTTTTCTCAATCACAATTTGAATACCTAAATATCAGTTTGTGTGGCGTCAAGAAAACAGCTTGTCTGCGACTACAGTCGAACCAGTTTTTCCTCAAAAAATTTTTTTTTCACAACAATAATAAAGCTATTGTAAAAAAGTATGATATTAGACATAAATAAAACAAACTAGATGTATTTATTAGTTATTCAATAAATTTAAAGTCAAGAAAAATTTCTTCTTGAGATCTGCATTGACTAGAGAGTAGGGTATGAGCCTCCTTAAATTAATCCTTACTCTTATCAAAGAACGGTTACAATCAAAACAAAGAAATTTAGTTATTATTAATTTTCATATATATTTATTAATTTTAAAAGAATATATAACAGCTATTTAGGTATACTATACCTACATTAGATGAATAGCGCACAGCTACTGAGTGTTGCGAAAACTTCATTGTCATAATTTTAATCCAAATTTCAAAGTACTTCATGTTCGTGATGAAGAGGAAAAACTGGATCTTTTGAAAACCATCGAAATAAATTATTTAAGATACAGTGATAATTAGTAAGTTGTCAAATTGATTGGAGTGATTTGCAGTTTTCAAATATAAATTTTTATCTGTTTTGAAAGTCGCACATTTAATTTTTGCACACTACTCGGTAGTTATCACCTGTTCCATTTACTTAGTAGTTTTTATCTGCAAAGGCTCATGTTTCGTATATACTTATATTTATGTAAATGAATATTTGTCTTCACAATGGTATTAATGACGACAATCATAAAATTTGATTAGTGAAATGAAATTTTCGTAACACTCAGTAGCTGTGCGTTATTTGTCTGAAGAAGGTATTTTGTACCAAAACAGCTGTTACGTATTTTTCCAGAATAAATAAATATGTATGAAAATCAATTAAAACTAAATTTTTTTTTTCTAATTATTTTCTTTCGTTACGGATTTTCATCAAGTAGGGGTATCTGTCCTAATTATGGACGCGTTAAGAAAAATTTCTAGCTCAACTTTATTTTGTGTCTAACGGTCAATAGAACTACACCTTGTATAATAACGTATAAGTCGTTTGATTCTTTTTTAACAACATCAAAATTTTTTTTTATCAAAAAGTTTTGTTATTTTTATTTTAATGATGAAACAAGAAAAAAAAATTTTGTCCGTATTACGGACCCCCTCGATGGACTTTGAACCTATCGTGGACCCCCCTATTACGGACCCTGCCCATAATGTGGACCCCCCAATTATGGACCCTGTCCATAATGTAGAAAAATATTTGTATGTTATTAAATAAACATTTGAGATTTATTTATAAGTACTTCTAACACTTTTAACAAAATATATGACTAGGCACTTTTTGAGATAAGTTTTCAAGAACAAGTTTTTATATAAAACTAAATTTGAGGTAAATGCTATCACTTTTTTTTATTTCAATAATCTTATATTTTTTATGACTTTGTTATGGTTGTTTAGTCTTGTTGGTGTGTTTTTTAAGAGGCATTTTTTGTTGTTCTTTCTTTACTTTTAGTATGAAAACAACAGCTTGAAGTTATAAAGTTGAAGGTTATGTATGCACTCAATACTGGCGGAATAAAGGGCCCATAATAGAGACAGAGCCGATAATTATGGCTGTATTGTGGACCCTCTAATAATGCATTGAAATATACTTTTTAGAAGTATAATTCGTTTTTATTATTTTCCTGAAACCTTCGCCCTGTAAAGTATTCCGCGAATACATAAACTTGACCAGTTTATCGATGTCACTGCGTGAATTGATCATCGTCAAGAAAGTGTTTTTGTACGACAACCATTCTTCGTGCCCACCGCTAAACCTTGGAAGTTCTGCTACTGGGAGTTTTAAGAGACGCTGGTGTTCTACAAAAGTCGAAGAGCCCATTCCTCCTCCCTGACCTACTAAAGACGCATTGTTCCTCCCGTCGAGAGCATTCAACTTCGCAATATCGCTGGCTATCTTGTAATACCGCTTGCTGATGTCTGGCCACGTCTCTACTTCCATTACCTTTCCGTTCTCAACACTAAGCGCTTCTATTAAGTCCTCACATTCTTGAAATTTACGGGTTAGGTCCCCCAAACGTAAAATCGTGCTGACTTTGTCGACGTCTGCGCCCCCTACAAATTTTTCTAAACCTTTTAATCGATCCGAAAATAGTCTTGCCTTTATCGATAAACTCTTGAAAGTTGCAACTGCCATCCTGATGGCGTTAATACCAAGGGTCCCTCTTCTTGTTTATAAAATAAAAACTACCCACTCTCCACCTTTATGGTTCCCCCAAAAAAAACTAATGTAAAGAAATATCTTGAAATCAAGCTGATTCTAATTAGAAAAAAGTAAAAGGGGGTAACAACAAAAAGAAAAAAGAAAAAAAATCTTATCTGTATTGACGACGTTGACTCAACTTCTGACAGCTGGGAGAAGGTTGATCCGTGGGAGCGACGGCGTTGGAAACAACGATGATTGATGGAGATGTTGATGAGGCAGTGAAACTTCAAACCTCACAGGAGGCACCAAATGTCGTGTGGGAGCACAGCCGATCCATCATGGATTGCCTGGTCCAAATTAAAAAAAGATTAGGGCAGAATGAACCAAAAAAAGGGGGGGGGCTCACGTAACAAGAAATCAATCAAAAAAAATAGATAAAATAAAAACAGAAATAAATTAAAAAACGGGGGGGGGGG